CAGCCACCACCAGGCAGAGCTGGCATTTAGGCTGAAACTGGCCTGCCTCCCCTGATCCAGTCTAGCCCTCTCATGTTACAGGTGACGATGCTGAAGCCCAGAGAGGGGTAGACGCTGGCCCAAGGTCACACAGGGAGGCAGCTAGAATGGGGATTCCCAAGTCTTAGCAGGTCCCACTTGCTTGGTTTAGAAACCCAGGGTCCTCTCCAGAAGGTTTGGGACTGATTTGGGGGTTCGGTCCTGGGAAGTGACAACCCAGAACAGGGAGGTTTTGTGGAGTGAGGGGGGAGGAGGAGGTCTGGGGTCCTTTTTGAGGATGGCGGGGAAGGGAGAACTGCACCCCCAGGTCCTCCCCTTCTTTGTAAGGAGACAGGAATGGAAGCTGGTGAGCATTTTGGGGTCCAGAGCCCCAGCCCCCAACTTGATATGGCCATCGAGGCCCAAGACGTGGCCCTGGGGCAGGTGGGAGGGCAGGACGGAGGGACAGATGAAGGAGGCAGTTGCATGGCTGTGGCCAACACGAAAAACTGCTTCCTGTTTGAGATTTTAGAGCATGAGTCATCGAGGGCCTGGCCCGGCACATGCAGGACGCTGAGCTAACTGGGGCAAGAAACGGTTGCTTGCCCTGGCTGTGCACCAGCCTCGGTGGGGAAGGGGCGGGGGTCCTGCCGGCCAAGCCGCCCTGCAAGACAGGATCCCACTGGGGGCCCCGGAGGCCAGGTGAGAAGGAGCTGGCTTTGTGGCTGGTTGGGGGAACTCACTCAGACAAGAGTATTGCACGGAGACCGCTCTGTAGTGGAGACTGCTCCTCCCGGCACAGCCTTCCAGACGGCCCTCGGCCACCATATACCCTCTGTGCCATCTCTCAACAGGGGGCCCTCGGTCGCCTGGGGGTTCATTCAAAAGGCAGCTCATCGGGCCCTCAGCAGATGTGGGAATGGGACCCAGGAATATGCATGTTTAATGAGCCTTCTAGATGATTCTTACGTGGGTTGAAGCTGGAGAGCCAATCCTCCAAAAGGTCCACTGGAACGGCGGGCACATAGTAGGTGTTCAATCACTACTGGTGGACAGGCTGGCTGCTCTTGCACATGTTGCTGCGGCCGAGCCTTCCACACCTGCTTGCAAAAGTGCAGCCACCGGCTTTCTGGGGCCTGAGGGGGCCGGGGTCTCCCTGAGGGCTGTGGACTGGGCTGGGATGTGAGGAAAGGCTCCAGGGAACCTCAGGCCGAGGCTTTGGGTACTGTGCATACAGCCCCTGAGCTGGGGATGAGAGGGCCATAGTCCTGTCTCTGCTGGAAATCTGCATGCTACCCGGAGCAAATGGGGCTTTTTCTGAGCTGCGGGACTGGGAGTCCGAGAGACGCCTGGCTTGGGGGTCTGGGTGCGGTGGGCAGGGCTGGGGAGTGACTGGGCTGGACTGGGCTCCTGAGCCTGGACCCTGACATCCACATACTCATTCATTCATTCACTCACTTAAGTCTTCAGCCTTTAGTTGCCTCCTGCACACACTAGTCCTGTATTCAGTCCACTTCAACTTTCCTGAGCCCTCCTTGTGCATCTCCTAAACAGAAGGGACCGTGACCAAGTTCATCTGCCCTGGAGGACCACACAGCCCAGCGGTGTGAGGGGAAGCCCAGCTGAGAAGGGCTCTGGCTATGGAGGCAGCCAAACTGGGTTTGTCTCCATTGTATGCCTCACAAGCTGTGTGCATAACCCTGCCGTAAAGCCAGCCCCCGTGCGACAGGGAGTCTGTAAACCATCTGGCCCAGAGCAGACTCGCCACAACCGCCAGTATCACAATTACTAAGAGAGGAGGGGATGGGGAAGCAACGAGTAACAACACCGAGGTGAGCGTTATGCTCACTGTCCAGTCCCCCGGGGGTGCTGGGGCGCGGTCAGTTTCACAGAGGAGGCAGAGTGGGGCTGACACTGGAAGGACCAGGAGAGGCTCACCAAGCAAACAAAGAGGGAAAGACATCCAGGCAGAGCAAGCCGCGTGGACAAAGGCATGGAGGTGAGAACTCAGACTTACGCTGGGTGCCCAGGGGTTAGAGCGCGGAGTTGGGGTCATGGTGCAGATCTGCCCGGCGGGCAGTCCAGGCCCGGACTCGAAGGCTGAACTCAGTTCTGAAGGCTGCGGGAGGCCACGGGCTAGGTCCAATGTCTCAACCTTGGCATTATCGACACTTAGGGCTGGATAATTCCCCATCGTGGAGCATCCTGTGCCTTGTTCAGCAGACTCCTTGGCCTTACCCATTAGGTCCCAGTGGTACCTATGCCTGCCGCCTGCCACTGTGACCACCCAAAATGTCTCCAGACACTGCCAAATCCCCTCCTGCTGCACTAGAGGAGTGGCATGAGTGTATGATGCTTAAAAAAAAATAGATGAGCAATCAATCTGGAGCATTATGCTTTTGAGGGCTGGCCCTGACCACAGCGTGGAGAGCAGATGAGAGGGACAGCCCCTGATGGCCAGGGCCCCGTCGGGAGGCCAGTGGAGCATCTCAGGTGAGAGATAGAGTCGGGGTGGGGCTGCGGGGCAAGAGAAGAGTGGCCAGGTGATCCAGGCTGTGGCAGGTGTTAAAAGGGCTGCCCCTGCTGTCTCTGAGTTCTACCAAAATTCCCCAGTGGCAGGTACAATGTGGTGGGTGTCAAGATCAAGCCCCCATCCTGAAGAGAAAGTCCTGGGCCACCTGTGCTGGTCACGCCAAGAGACAAACTGGTTCAGCTAGAATTTGCCATTCCCCCAGTCCCCAAAGAGAAAGGATTTGGGGGAAGGAGTCCTACTGAGTGTCCCCTGCTGCCCTTTGTTGGGGAGGAGCGAGCACGCCCCCTTACCTTGAGCCAAGCTGAGTTTAGGAACCATAACGCTGATGGGAGGTTCTTGTCTGTTTTGTCCACTGCTGAGTCCCCAGCACCCCAAGGCTGGCACACAGTAGGTGCTTGATAAAGACACCTGCCGCTAGGTAGGCATGAGCCGGGCTGCTACAGGTGCAGAGCAAAGGGCAGGGCAACGGTGAATCCCAGGGGAGAGCCAGCCTTGAGCCATTGCTACCCCAAAGTGCTTCCTGGTGGGGGAGGTGGCCTCAGCAGAAGTGTGGGAGACCACCATTCACGTAGGAGCCAAAGAGGGTGTCACTTGTGCTGGCACGAGGTTCAGGCTTTCCTGGTGCTGGGGAGCCGTGGGCAGAGGAATCAGCAAGAAGGTCTCCAAGGAACCTGCAAAAGTGCCCCCAGAGAGAATGAGCCAGAAACTGCCTCCCAAAGGCCCCAATGCCAGGAGGGTGACACCTTTGGCTGCCATGATACATCGTACCCTTTTCTTCTAAAATTCTCACCCCTGGGATTGACCCTTGAGGGGTCAAGAACTGCACTTGGCAGAGTTAAGACAGAAGGTGCCTGCCCCCACAAGCCTGGCTCGTCCCCAAGAAGGGGAGAAGCTCCACATTGCGCAGGAGACTGGAGCTGTAATTTGTCCCCAGAACAGGAACTACTCCCAGGAGGAGGCTCGTGTTTGGGGGGGTGATGGAGCCATTCACTGGAGGGCGGAAGCTGGCAGGGAGCCTGCTGGAGGGCATGAGTCACTTGGACCCCACTGGGTTTGAGGTGTGTGGGGGACATCCAGGGAGAACTCTTGTCCCCTGCTTTCACCCGGTGACATCCGCTCCTGGCCTTTGGCTCTCTCCTATGGATCTGGGAAGCCTCAAAACTGCTCCCAGGTGAGGCTTATACGGGCCAGAAGAAATCTTCGTGCTTGTTCTGGAAGCTGACCCTCTCTGCAGAAGTAAGGTAGTAAGTGGTGTTGGCCACGCCCTGGGCATGGCGCACGGCACAGAATCGTGTGGGAACCAGGTGATTTCCCAGTCTCCTGGTCAGGAGGTGGGATTTTCCATCCCCCGAGAGTCACTTCCCAGTTTCTCACTCAGCACCTAGTAGCACCGTCCTTGTGGTCTCCATCATGGGGTTGGTGGCCCAGAGCAGGGGCCTCTGCACCTCTTTAGGCAGCCTGCAGTGAGGGAACCGGGAACAGAAGAGCCTCATGCCTCCCTGCCCACCCCAGCTCTCTGAAATGCCCTGTGTGCTGGGGGCAAAGACTCCCCTATAAGGATGTTTAAGGATAAAGGAACAAATGAATAGTAGTATTAACAGCTAGTACTTATACAGTGCTTAAGCTATATATATATACTTAAGCATATATATTAATATGATATGAAGTATATAATGTATATTATAAATTATTTTTTGAGACAGGGTCTCACTCTGTCACCTGGGCCAGAGTGCAGTGGTGTCATCATAGCTCACAGCAACCTCAAGCTCCTGGGCTAAAGTGATTCTCCTGCCTCAGCCTCCCACGTAGCTGGGACTACAGGCATGCGCCACCATGCCCAGCTAATTTTTTTTATATTTTGTAAAGCCTGGGTCTCGCTCTTGCTCAGGCTGTGCATATTATAAATCTTTGAATCCTCGGAATGGCCCTCTGAGGTCAGTGCAGAGATTCAGACCCAGGTGGTCTGGCTCTAGAGTCTCAATGAGTGAATGATCTAGAGCCCCTTGTTTCCCCCGAGAGTGGGTGTCAGCTTTGGGGAAGGTTTTCAAAAGAGTGTCGCTCTCCCAGGGGAGTGGGAAGCCTGTCGGAGCTGGGAGGGGTAGGTAGAGAGGTACAGCGGGGGTGGGGGGCAGCCACAAAGCTAGTGGGAGCCTGTCCCCAGGGCGGGTCTCCTGCACCCCCACCCCCACTGGGAATGGTGGGAGGGGGCGACAGGGGGAGGTAGAAGGAGTCACCCAAGTGCTGGGAGAGATGCTGGAGGTGTCGGGCCAGCACGGCTGGCACGAGTCCTGGTGTCCAGCAGCCGGCTGGGGAGGGGGCGTGGAGGAGGCCGGGGGCGTGAGGGAGGCGTGTCCACGATGGAGGGGGGGGCGGCCGGCCCCGCCCTCGCCCCGCCCCGCCCCGCCCCGCCCCGCCCCGCCGCCAGCCCTGCAGCCTGGGGCCGCTCGGGCTTTCGCTTTCAGTCGAGGCTCGCGGAGCCGGGAGAGAGGGTGCGAGCTAGCGCGGCGCGGGACCAGCGACCGCCAGACCATGCCCGCGCTCATGGCGCTCGCCACCCTCTGGGCCGCGCTGGCCGTCGGACTGCAGCTCTGGGCCGCGGGGCACGCCGTGCCCGCCCAGGTAGGTGACTCGCGTGGCCCCCCTGGGGACAGCCGCCCCACGCGCCCACCCCGGCCGGCGCGCAGCCCCGGGGAAGCCGTCATGGACCAGGGGCCCCGAGTCGCTGCCCCCTCATCCCCATCAGACACGCGCCACGTGCCTCGGGGGACCCGCTGGCGACCCCGGGCCCGGCACACATGCGCCCGGAGCAGAAGTCTGGCCCCGTAGACCCACGTCCCCGGGAAGCACCCTGGCTTTGCCGCTAGCCGGAGCGCAGACCAGGGGGTTTGGGGCTGATCAGCGGGACCTGGGCGCGCACCCTGGACCCTCCTCCTTCACCCCTGCGACTGCCGCGACAGTCCTTCCCTCCCACGCGGTAGGAGGGGGCTGTACTGGGGCGCTGCCCCCCTGCCCACGGGCACCCTCTTCAGAGATTTCCTTTCTCTTCAGAAGGTTTCCTCTCCTCTGGGCTATGGTTTTCCTCTTTCTTAGAAATACTGGGGCTGAGTCTGAAGCACAGGGCCAGGTGTGTGGCTCGGCCTAATAAGGGCACATTTGCACCGCACTTCCCCTCGCTGGGCTCCTTCCCCGGCCCCCGCCCATGTGTCCAGGGGCCATTGGCATTCTCTGTGGGCTTTGGGGACAGGAGAGGTGATGGAAGTCTTCTGGGCTGGTATCAAGTAAGGCAGACAGTTGTCTAAGGGGCAGGAAAGTGGGGAGAGCGGAGACCCTAAGCTGTTACTCGATACTGACGTCACCTGCCCGCAGTAGCTGACGTCACCTGCCCGCAGTAGCCAGGTCCAGTCTCTGTGGGTCCTTTGCCTGTTTTTGACCATCTCCACCGTCTGGTAACCGCATTTTACAGAGAGGGAAAGTGAGGCTCTGAGAACTTGATTTCGCGGAAGGGCATGGGGAGAGGACTTCCTCCAAAGGGGGCATCTTCCTCCTTGGCCCCCCCATGGCTGGGGAGTCCTCCTCGTGAGCTACCCAGATGGACACACGGTGTGCGGATTGGCCTGGACAGCTTGACCGGGCAGGAAGGTGGGAGGTGGCGATGGCTCTCGTGGTGACATGGGGTGACTCAGGAATCCAAGGCCAAAGAATCTAATTCTCAAGGGTGGGAGATGGGGGCTGTCACACTAGAACTGACTCACCCACAGTGGGTTCCAGGAGTGGGTCCTGGGGGGCTGCCCCAGTAAAGGTCCTGGGTGGCTTTTGGGTCAGCTCTGAGGACCGAGTGTGACTGGGGACACCTGTGGTCCCAGCCTGGCTATGGGGTGCTGCCACAGACCCTGGCCTTGGAGGGGGTCTTCCTGCCGCAGAGCTTGGGGCTGCCTGGGTGAACCCTGGGGCTTTGAGAGCCACTGGCAGGATGTGCAGGGCAGGCCGGGCCGTGCAGGACGCAGGCTAAAGTCCTGGAGCTGCGTGAGGGGTTTCCTCCCCACTTCCTTCCCCTTCTGCCCAGCTCCTGCGTCAGCTCAGACTCCCTCGCCCCTGGACTGCTGTCTCAGCCACTTAGCTGGCCTCCCTGCCCGCCCCCCCTCCCACTGCTCCTCCTTGGCAGGGACCCTTCCCCAGTGTGCAGCACATCTGCCTGCCTGGGGAGCCTCCTGTGGCTCCCGGTGGCCAAGGCAGAGACTCCCCCAGGTGTCCCAGGCCAGAGGGAGCCATCTGGGCTTTCCGTCCCCCTCCCCCGCCCCCTCCTCATCCCTGTGAAGCCGATGATGATGGTGGTCGCTGTGCATCATTGTGCAAAGAGCCTTTGCCCATAGTGTCACCTCTCCGTGATATGCCTCTTAGCCCTGTCCTTTAAGGTCTTTTGCAAATGCCTTCCTCCCCAGGAAAGCCTTTCCTCATTCTTGAAGTTGGATCTGATCTCTTGGAACTCTCAGGACCTTTCGTTCCTTTTGAGGACTGATTACATTCTGCTTTTTAATCTAGTTGTGTCTTATCTACTTCAGTGGATGGAAGGTTCCTTGAGAGCCGGCACTGTGGGTTCCTCCTCCTCCTCATCATTAGCACCCGATAGCTCCTTTTTCCTGAACACCTGCTAAGTGTCAGGCCCTGTGTTAGGTGCTTTGCCACAGAATTGCACTGAAACCTCTCCTGCAGCAACTCCTAAAAGGCGGGAGTTCTGTTCCCTTTGAGAGATGTGGAACTTCAGGTCCAGAGAGGTGATGGCATGTCCCAGGATTGCAGAGCTGGGCTGAGGGGTGGGATTTGAATACAGGTCTGCCTAATTCCAGAGCCCTTGTCGCTCTGCACTCTTGTGCGTGTATCGCCTCTCCTGCCCCGAGCCAGTCCCCCCCCTCCAACACACACAAACACATTGGGTCCTCAGGAATGTTGGATGGAATTTGATTGATTGTAGAAAGAGCCCCAGGGAGACCTGCGCTGGCCACATGCACACTTGGCCATCAGGGCTTTTGCCCCCTGTAACAGCCTATTTCCCAGTTGGTGTGGAATGCATCATTCAGTCACTTAGTCGTTTATTCATTTGACAGATGCCAGTAAAGCTGGCAGGGCAGGTGAGTGCCGGGTGCTCTCTGATGGGGGTGGGCAGGGCCCCGGCTGTCTGGGGAGGAGGTGAGGGGTCTGTGCCTGCTGGGTCTGGCCTGCTGATCCCTGGAAGTCTTGGGGCTGAGGGGCTGCTGTTTGTCTCCTCATCACCAGGGGCCTGGGGCCAGCTCGGGTTAGGGGAGAGATCGGGGCCCCCAGGCTGGGCATTGGAGAGGAGTTGGGTGATCTGGGTGCTTGCCGGTCCCCGGGCTCTTCCCTCCTTCCACCACATCTCTGTCCCTTTGTCCCTTGCTTGTCATCCCAGCAGGGAACCTGTGTGCTCACTGAGGATGTGGCCCTGTGGTTGGGCACCTCTTCAGAGGGCAGTGGGCAGGTGGCCAGGCACCCTGCTGCGGAGCCATTCATTCATTCATTCATTCATTCCCCAAACGTTCATGAACAGCTGCCCCAGGCCCAGCCCAGTGCCAGCGGTGCTGAGACCGAGAGCTCTGGGGACCCCGAGATGACCACTATCCGGCTCCTGCCCTCCAGGAGCCACACTGCCAGTAGGTCACCTGGGCTCTGCCTTCCTCCAGGGAAAGCCCTTTCTCATTCTCGAATTGGATCTGATCTCTTAGAACTCTCAGGACCTTTTGTCCCTTTTGAGGATAGATTGCATTCTGCATTTTAATCTAGTTGTGTTTTATCCACTTCAGTGGATGGAAGGTTCCTTGAGAGGCGGGACTGTGGGTTCCTCCTCCTCCTCATTATTAGCACCCGGCAGCTCTTTGTTTCTGAACACCTGCCCTTGTGACCTGCCCCAGTGAGTGAGCCTTTGCTTTCTCATCTGCTGGCCTGGAGAGCGTTCCCGGCACTGGCCTGCTGCCCTCCACGGGGCCCTGTAGGGGTGGAAGGTTGAGAACTTGCCTGGCATTCTTGTGTTGGATAGTGTTCCTAACTATTGTCCTGGGCCCTAGCCTAGCGGCTCCCTGTAGCACTGTCCCTCCCAGGGCTGTGTGACCTTTTTACCATCCCTTACCATCCCGTGCTTCCTGTAGGAGCAGCCAGGAAGGTGAATGTGAATGGGGGGATGGAGGAGCACTGCTGCTAGCCACGGTGTGTGTGTTACAGTCGTCAACTCACTTTTATGCCACACTGGCTGCTTTTCTGGTTCTCAAGTATGCTATGCACACACCTGCCGCAGGGCCTTTGCACATGCTTTCCCCTTTGCCTTGAATGCTCTTCCCACTGATATCCCCTTGTCTCACTCCCTCACTTCCTTTTGCTCAAATGGATCCTGCCTATAAAAGCTCCCTGCCAGGTACTCTCACTCTCCGACCTGCTTTGTTTTTCTAGATAACACTCTTGACCAGTTATATTTCCTTCATCGTTGCTGTGTCTTCCCACAAGAATGTAAGCACAGTGAGGGCAGAGACTCGCTCACCGCTACAGCCCCATAGCCTAGGTGAGGGTTTCTCGGTCTCAGCACCGCTGGCATTTGGGCCATGTAAGTCTTTGTTGTCGGGTGTTTAACAGCATCCCTGGCCCCTACGTACTAGATGCCGCAGCACCCCCCTCAGTTGTGATAGTCAAAAATGTTCCAGAAATATTCACCTGACATTTATAATGACCTCGTTGTGCACGCGAGGAGCCAGGAGAGTTTGAAAAGTCAGTGGTGGCGGAGCTGGGCTCTGGTTTGCCTCCCTCTCTGGGCCCGTCTCCCTGCCGCGTGGGGTCTGCCGAGGCTGGAGATCCTCTCCCCAAAATGCTCACACTCCCCCTGTCCCCAGCCTGGCTCCTGATGGGGCCACCACTGGCAGTGAGTGACTCAAAGCCCCAGTAACATGTGATTTGCCCGGAAGCAGGCAGAGAGGGAAGTTGGGGTTGGGGAGAGGTGTGCCGTGGGGTGAACAGGAACAGAGTGGAGGTTCTGGGGCTCCCAGTTCTGGACACCATCCGCCGGGCGCAGGAGGGCAGCCCTGATGACTCCGGGGAAAGGCCCAGGCCTCCGTCTGCTGTGTACTGGCCATGTGACCTTGGCAAGTCTTTCCATCCCCGGGAGCCTCTGTGTTCTCATCTCGAAAATGGGACTAGACCCTACCCTACCAGCTGGTTGTCAGGATTAACAGTGCTTTCTAGTCCTACCTGTGGCCTTGCAGGCCTGACCTGACTCTCTGGGTCATGGGGTGGTGCTCAGGCCGAGATGGGGACCCCCATGGAGTCAGACTCCCAGGCTCAGCCAGAGGGCTCCAAAGCTTGGGTGCCAGTTGACCAGAGTTCCTGTCCAGGTGGCTTTACTGCTCAACATCCCTGAGAGCAACTTCCCTCCTATGGGCCTCCCTCTCGTACCATCTGTGCGACTGAGGGGCCTTGTGTACTGCCCTCCATACTGGGGCAAAGGCTTCAGGGTCAGGAAATCACCTCACCCCCTTTCAGTGAGTGACAGGTGCTGTGTGTCATTTGGGGGTGAGCGAGGGATACATTTGGTGTCGTATAGAAGGATGCAGAAGGTTTCAGCTTGC